ACGAATAATAAAATACAATAATTATAACCATATACTGTAATATAAGTTATGTGAATGTGGATTTTCTCTCTCTCTCTGTCTCACAATATCTCACTGTACTGTATCCATCTATTTTGGGACCAGCTGACCACGGGTAAATGAAATCACATAAGGGGAGACAACTACAGTTAGAAAAAGTCTTTGCAGACGTAAGTTAAGGATTTTGATGGGAGATCATCCTGGATTAGAGAGGACCCCAATTTCAATGACAAGGGTCCTTTTAAGAGAGGAAAAAAAGACACACAGAGGGGAAGGTGATATGCAGACGGCAGCAGAGATTGAAGTGATGTACTTGTAAGCCGAGGAACACCAAGGATGACTGACAACTACCCTAAGTTAGGAGAGGCACAGACTAGATTGTATCTCAAACCCTCCATAAGGTTAATCACACTTTGCTTTCAGACCTCTGGCCTCCCAAACCATGAGAGAATAAATTCACATTGCTTTTCTTTCTTTCTTCTTTCTTGAGACAGAGCCTCACGCTGTTGAAATTTACATTGGTTTAAGCCATCAACTTTGTAGTTATTTGTTGTAGTAGCCCTGTGAAATGAATATAGTCAGCAGAAATATAGAACTAGAGAACGCAATCAACGAAATCTGATTGACATTCATAAAACACTTTCATCCAGCAGTAGTGAAATACGTGTATTCTTTTCCAGTGTGTAGGAAACCTTCAGCAAGATAGAACATATCCAGGGTCATGAAACAAATTCTAAAACAACGGAAATCATACAGCGTATGTTCTTTTACCACCTAAAATGAAACTGGGAATAACAGAAAAATAATACGTATATTTTTAAGCATTGAGAAATTAAACGGTACATTCTACATAATTTATGGATCAAAGAGGAAGTCCTGAGGAATATTAAAAAACAACGTGAGCAGGCTGGAAATTAACCTAATTTCTACTGGATTAACTTAACTTTTGTTCTAAAGAACTAGAAGCAAGCAGGGAGCAAGAATTATAACAAATATTAGAGGAGAAATCATTAACATCAGACAGAGAAATACAATAGGGAAAACCAATAGAACTAAAAACTGGTTCTCAAAATGTTTAATAAAATCGATAAAATTTCAGCCAAATCAATGAAGAAAAGACAAAAATAACCAATACCAGGAATGAAAGTGAGGTTATTACGACAGAACTCATAAATACTTACAGGTAATAAGGGAATACAGTAGAGAACTCTACACATACAAATTTGACAACTTAGATCCAATTGATGAATTCCTTGAAAGCCACTAACTACTATACAATTCATCCAAGAATAAATAGATAATTTGATTAGTCTTAAGCCAATTAAATAGATTGAATTTATTGTTAGAACTCTTCTGAAAAAGAAATCTCCAGGCCCAGACCGTTTATGGAAAATTATATTAAGCATTGCAGTGCTTAGTTGTAATCAATGGAGGCAGAAATGAGGAAACCAAGATGCCTGATTCTCCTTAAGAGTTGGTTTTTCATAGGTTCTTCAAGGCTCATCAACATGGATGAGCCTGGAGGACACACTGAGCAAAGGGAGCCAAGCCCAGAAAGACCCACACCGACTGCATGACCTCATTTATATGTGGAATCTAAAATGTGAACTTGTACAAGCAGAGGAGAGTGGTTTTACCAGCAGCTGCAGGTGTAGTAGGGGATACTATGGAATGGCATTGCTCAAAGGGTACAACATTATAGTTAGACAAGATAGATAAATTCTAGAGACCGCTTGTACATTAATAAGAATGCATTGTATATGTGAAAATGGTAAGAGATTTTAAATGCTCTCATAAAAAATTATGTGTGGTGATGGGTTAATTAGCTTTATTTCACTATTCCTTTAACGTAAACATAGATCAAGATATCGCACTGCACACCATCAATACAGACAATTTTTATTCATCAATTAATAAACAAATACATTCTTTTAACCAAACATTTTTGTTACTCCAAACTGAAGCTCTAACCATTAAATAATGATTGTCCATTCCCTGCTCCTTGTGAAGCCATGTTTGACTGTCCTCCAGGCCTTTTGTTACAATCTCTTTTATGTACCTATGACGTTCTACTTGCATGTCTATTAAATTTTTCACTTTTTGCATAATAAGTTCACAGGTTTGTTCCTCTCTCTAAACTGGACTTTGGGGGAATGTAATCACATCAGCTGCAAATAGTATTTGTGTGTTTCTTAGTTCATTAAATTATTATTACTAAGATCAGTAAAGAGAGCACAGAATATCTTTATTTGTTATACTAGCTAGTAGTAGGGTAGAATTTTGTAACCACTTCCCTGAATCTAGATAGGCAAAAGATTAAAATATTGACAAATCCAATCATAAAAAATACTGAAAAAATTAGAATTGAGTATTTTAAAAATGAAAGTGTGGAGAACAGGTTAAAAGCATGGAATTAAATTACAAAGGATTTTTTCGGTACTTTTCCTCTAAAGGCTGAACTATTAAATACTTCTAAAAATGTCAAGCAATGAAGTGGCAAAAATATTTTCTGAAAAATTGAGAGAGTAAATGTTAAGATGGTTGTTCAATGAAGAACTGATGGAACTGAGAAATAAAAAAAAAAAACATTAAAATCCAAATAAAACACTAGAAATAGTTTAGAAGAGAAAAATACATCAGTAACACAAGTATTTGAGGGAAAATAAAGCTGGAACCCACGGATATTAAAATAAATGTAGTTTAAAATGATGGTAAGCCTCCATTTTCACCAAATGATTGGCACATAGTTTTAATGACAGTATTTTTAAAACTTAACCAAAAATATTTAAATGGATGCATTTTTTAAGAGAGATTCAGTCGAGTGAAGTATCAGAGGACAATTCCTTTCTCTAGGTGAGCATGAAGGTATCCAAAGTCCTTTCAGCAGGTGAATTTGGTATGAATCTTTGATTCAGGCAAAAATCTAATTGTTAGAATAAAATATACATGAGTTTGTGTGATTGTTTTGGCAAAATTAAATGTCTGATTCCAGAAAAATATTTGACAATACTTATGGCAGAGGAAGTAGTGTACTTGGACTTCAAGCCTTTCTGCCCAAATATGAAACAGCAGTTGACTATGAAAAACCCAAACACAGCAGTAGCCGAATAAACCAATGGACAAACAAGGGCAGATTTTCAACCCTGGATCCCCCCTTTAATACGCTATCATCTAGGTCCACTGACTGAACACACCTGCAAGGGCATCAGAGACTTCCCAGACCTGAATAGATTTTCAACTGGTAATGGCCTCTCTCAGCAGCATCCAACCGTTTTCCTCTGGTCTGGTGCACGTTGAAAGAGTAAGAGTTGTCTTAGGCCACACATTAAATACACAGACACTAACAAAAGCTGATCAGCAAAACAAAAGGTCTCTGTAAACTTTTTGTAATATCTGACATCACAGGTAAGCAAAAAAAAGTCCTCACAAAATCAGCATGCAGGCCCTGGTGGGTTGGACACCCCCGGGTGAAGACAAGAGCATTTGTTGTCCCTTAAGCCAATATTCCAATTAACTAAATCTTTCAGTACCCTAGTTAAGGAGCAGTATGCAAAACATTTTGTTTGCTGCAATGACCAGTGGGACAGAGTGGTAGGACATAAAAAAGGTGGTCTGCTGATGGCAATGTAAATCTCTCATCCTGTGGAGGTATTTGACAATCAAGACGAATATCTATGTTCTTTAACTGATTGATACTTAGTTTCATAATATCTGATCTGGTAATTCCATCCCTATGGATCTATCATAAAGAATTCATCCTATCTATGAAATGTTGCAAAATATTCAAATGTTATGCAAAATGCAAGCCTGAATGGATAGAACCCAATTGTGCAGTCTCATTGGCTGTGAAACCCTTGTTACATCCATCTTCTTTGGTGGAGTATTATGCAACCATTAAAAATAATGACCATGAAAATTATGTATCCACAGGAAAATTTTTTTTAGAGAGACAGAGTCTCACCTTATCACCCTCCGTAGAGTGCTGTGGTGTCACAGCTCAGAGCAACCTCCAACTCCTGGGCCTAGGTTAGCCTCCCACGTAGCTGGGACTACAGGCACCTGCCACAACGCCTGGCTATTCTTTGTTGCAGTTTGGCCAGGGCCAGGTTCAAACCCGCCACCCTCAGTACATGGGGCCAGCGCCCTACTCACTGAGCCACAGGCGCTGCCCTCCACAGGAAAAGGTTTATATTAACGGTATATGATATTAGCTGAAAAAGTATTAAAATTACACATTTAGGGTGGCACCTGTGGCTCAAAGGAGTAGGGTGCCAGCCCCATATACGGGAGGTGGCAGATTCAAGCCCAACTCCGGCAAAAAACTGCCAAAAAAAAAATTGCGCATTTAGTATGATGACAACTAGGTGAGATATATACAGGGAAAGAAAAAGAGTGACCATAAAAGATGAACATACCTTAAAGAAAGTAAAAACTCATATTTTTAAAAATTTGATTTTTTTCCCACATGGTCCATATAATCTGATTATATACAGGATTTTATAAAGAAAAGGTAAGTGAGAGAACAGCAAAGGGAAAAACTATACAATGTAAACATCAAATAATAAAAAGGATGGCCAATCATGGATACAGATTTTAAGAAAGGAAAAACTGTGTTAAAATTATAATACTCAAGTCACCTTTGATGTTTGCAGTTATAGGAGGTGCTCAAAGATAACTTGTGGTCATCTTGGTGTTTTCGGTGTATGTTACGTATTACAGTTCTTTTGGCACCTTCTGTGTATATTATATCTAGTTAATTGTTAAGCCAATGACTCCTAAAAGGAACCATGTGCTGGGCAGCAGCAGAAGTCACCCTCCATGGAAATCAACTTCCATGATTCCATAACAGAGAATGAGTTAGTTTTGATTTTTTATGTGTAGTTTACCACGCTGAGAGATATAAACAGAACCATAATAATTGATATTGAAAAGCAAGCCCTATTTTTGCTAATAGTATATTCTTTTCATCCTCAATGCCTCAGTTCTTGTTCAGCTTGAAAACCCATATTGCCTTGAATCAACGGAACATCTTCAAAAGTTTCTCATGTTCAGAAGCACCACAGAAAACACCTGTTTGGTCAACAGAGACTGAGCTGAGAATACAGGAAATCATGGCGAAACTAGACCAGCAGATCCCGCCCAGACCTTTCACTCATGTGAACACCACCACCAGTGCCTCACACAGCACAGCCACCATCCTCAACCCTCAACACACATACTGCATGGGGGACCAGCTGGACGTCCTGCTGGAGGCGAGGGACCACTTGGGGCACCGGAAACAATATGGTGGGGATTTCCTGAGGGCCAGGATGTCCTCCCCAGCCCTGGAGGCAGGCGCTGCAGGAAAGGTGACCGACTTCAACAATGGTAACTACCTTGTCACCTTCACTCTATTCTGGGAGGGCCAGGTCACCCTGTCTGTCCTGCTCATCCACCCCAGTGAGGGGGCATCGGCCCTCTGGAGGGCCAGGAACCGAGGCTATGATAGGGTTATTTTCAAAGGTAAATTTGTTAACGTCACCTCCCATGTCTTCACTGAATGTGGCCTGACCCCAATGTCAAGGGCAGAGCTCTGTGAATACCTGGACGCTAGAGACCAAGAAGCCTTCTACTGTGTGAAGCCTCCACACATGCCCTGTGAGGCCCTGACTCACATGTTCAGCAAGAATCGGAACATTTCTTATCTCACTGACCAGGAAAAAAGCCTTTTCCACAGGTAAGTACAGTTCTCAACACACTGAGAGGTGCCCCTATGGGCCTCCACTGCCCATCTCAATACTGAGAAAGACCTTCTCAGATGCCCTACTCAAGGTCAAGCGTGTGGTGTCTTCATGGGGCCCAAGTTTGCATTTCTCCTGAAAAGTTCAATAACAGAGGGCTGCACAGGTGGAACTCTACACTGTAGAGGCCTCTTCTTCTCCAGAATGCCGGGGATCGTCCTTTCCTGCAGGAAACCTTCCAAATCACTGGATGAAGTTTCCAGTCTTGTGTTTCCCTGTTGCTTTTTTGTTCTTCCTCAACGTTACACTTATTACACCATTAATGAGAGGGAGAGAGCCCTCTCCCTCTCATTCTCCTTCCCCTGCTAATTTATTTTCATGTCTTCTGCTAAATTGTAAGCTCCCCGAAACATTAGCCGTAACTATTTTCACCATTCATTCATTCAGTTTGTAAACAGTTAGCACCTTCTGTATTCAGCTCTGGGCATCGGGAATTGACATTCCAGCAGGAGAGACAGGCAAAAAGCAAATAAATAAATAGATTTCTCATAGAAAATCATCACAGGAAGGGATGCTTTTGTGATGGTTGATGTTATTTCAAAAGGATAGTTGGCTAAGGCCTATCTTGAGTAGCAACCTGAATGAAGGAGAATCAATCTGGGGGGAATACTCTTCTTGAGAGAGAAATTAGGACCTGAGGGAAGAGCAGGCTGGAGTGGGGAGCCCTGGGGCTGGGGTGCCGTGAGTGAGGGAGACGGCTGCTCAGGTGGGTCAGCAGGGCCTCCGAGGCCATCTGTGTATGACTGAGGCTGTTGAAGGTGACGTGTTTTTGGTCTCACGAGACTAGCACTGTGCCTGACCCCGAAAAGATTCTCAATAGCTGCTGAGTAAAAGAATAAGTAAACTACTATCTGGGCAAATCAAGTTAAGTGTACTTCTTTGCAGTAGGACTTTTCAGAAATTTAAATGTGTATCTCCTCAAGCAGGGACAGCGCATACAACATTTCCCAAACTTATGTGGCCACAGAACATTTCTTCTATGGATTATTTTAAGAGACTTTGGTTCCCTATTTTGGGAATGGCTACTAGAGAAAGGCCTTAGGTTTTCTAACATGTGCAGAAGAACAAAGTGCGTAACACAATGTCCTGGAAATTCAAGTTCAAATCCAACTTAAACATTGTGATGACACAGGGGGCTGGGCACACCTGACCCCACCTCTCTACAATGTTTCCCTTTCACCCCTCCCTCACTTTTACTCTGTTCATGTTCTCCTGATCAAGGTATGGAAAACCTCTTTATCTTATGGCTCAGCTAAAAAAAAAAAAAAAAGGTGGGCTTTTCAGATAAATTTTTATGAAAAAAACCAAAGGAATGTGATCACGAAGACATGGAGGTCTTTCTGTCTTGAAGGTCTCAGAACCATGTCTTAAGTCTAAGGGGATCCAGGTGTGTGTGGCCTGTGTGGCCCAATTCTGTGTTCCCTGCTGGCTGTGTCTGGCTGTCTCTTGAGGGGGGTCCTTGTAGCAGCCTGAGTTGGAGCAACCGTGCTTGCATAGGCTGTTGGCTATGCCTCGGGAAAGTCAACGTCTCTGGTCCAGGAGACCTGCAAATGTTTTGGGTCCTAGTTATGCGTCTCATGGAGGTTGTGCTCATGACAATAACTGCGAAATTAACCTGGTTTATTTCCCAATAGACACATTTCCTTCCCAGATCTCCTGCTCTTCTCTTCTCAAGTTCTCAAGTTTTTTCCCTCGCTGTGTGGAAGCAGAGATTTCCGTCTCATCACAGGTGATTTAGCTCATGTGCGAGGAGTCGTCGACTTCACGGGGAATTCCACATTCAAGAACCCTCATATGGATAGTCTATTGCTAAGCTCTAGGGTCCCCTCTTTGGCCCAAACCTAGTTCTAAGACATCTTTTCTCCCCTTAGTGCAGGGACTAAGCCTGTCTCTCTTTTATTTGTGACTTAGTCCAGCAGACTGTTCAACAACACAGGTTTGAACTGTGCGTGTCTGCTTATCTTGGGTATTTTCAACCAAATATAGTATTCACGCCATGCACAACCTGCATATGTGGAGGGATGCCTTTCTATGAACTTGGGTTCCATACGATCTGCTGAAGGACTTGAATATGAGCCAACTTTAGTACACACAGTGGGGAGCCTGGGACCAATCCCCCAGGTATGCTGAGTGCCAGCTATAAACATATATTTTCCCACTAGGGTTTTCTGTCCTGCAGCTGCCTTCAGAATCAGAGATATTACCTCCTTAGTTACTCATATCTTCAAAGTTAAAAAAAAAGTGCTTTTCGGCTCAGCACCTGTAGCTCAGTGGCTAGGGCTCCAGTCACATACGCTGGAGCTGGCAGGTTCAAGTCTGGCCCGGACCTGCCAAACAATGACAACTACAACCAAAAAATAGCTGGGTGTTGTAGCAGGTGCCTGTAGTCCCAGCTACTTGGGAGGCTGAGGCAAAAGAATCACTTAACCCCAAGAGTTTGAGGTTGCTGTGAGCTGTGGTGCCACGGCCCTCTACGAGGGCGACATACTGAGACTCTGTCTCAAAAAAGAAAAAAAAAGTACTTTTCTTTTTAATTTGCTTTATGGGTAGACATGATGGAAAAATAAACAAGGTGTCACCGCATGAGAGGACTTCATATATGCAAAGCAGTAGTTCACAGTCCTATGGTGACCTGACCATACCCCCTTCCTAAAAGTGTAATGCACACATGGACAATTACAAAAACAAGAAACATTAAAACAAATGCTTTCCCACCATGGGCACGTGTTTTTTTGGTTTTTTTTTTTTTTTTTTTTTGGCAGTTTTTGGCGGGGGCTGGGTTTGAACTCACCACCTCTGGCATAGGAGGCCGGTGCCCTACTCCTTTGAGCCACAGGCGCTGCCCATGAGCACATGTTTTTAATACTTAATGTACCATCCAAGTTTGCCTTTTGGTAACAAAATGTGCAGCGTAGCCAGGTCTTGGCCATTTTTTTTATCCTCCACTTTACCAGTGATAGGTCTGGGAGAATAGATGTTCAAATTTCTCCCTGAGACAAATTTTAATCTTGTGCCACAGATAGGTCTGATGAGATCCTTAGTAATAATAATTGCAACGAATTTTTGAGCACCTACTATGTGTTGGGCCTTACCCTAGCTGCCTTCCTTATATTACGCCATTGTTCCTCAGTAAAACACTCTGCTTATTTTACAGACGAGGCCATTTAAGCACAGGCATATCAAGTAGGTCGGCCAAAGTCATATACCTAGTGAGTTGCAGAGTCGGAATTAGAGTCCTAAGTGACCTCATTCTCAACCTAAAAACTTCTTCCCTGGCATTCAGGCGATACTTCTCAGTCTTAGAAAAGACTTCATTTGTCCCTCCTGGAGGTTTCTGGGGGTCCTACCTTTCCCCAACTTGGTTTCCTTCTGATGGATTGAATTTGATTTGACCAGATATAACCATCAGCTTAATTGTATCCATCCTAGTACTGCTACCTTATGGGGAGGCTTACCGTGCTAGGCCTTTAGAATAGTATAGTGAATATAGTTGGCCTGATTCCTATTTAGCTATTTATGGAAGATAGATACCTGGGGACTTGTGGAGGTGGGGATTTAAGAAGATGAAGCTGGGAAGGGAGACACTCTCAGGAGCTTTGTATGCTGGTTAGGGAGCTTGGTTCTCCTCCTGCAGGTTGATGAGGGAAAGTCATGGAAAGATTCTGCATTTGGGGAATAAACAGGCAGTGTGGAGGTTGGTCCCAGTGAGCTGGGATAAAACAAAGGGGCAGAAAAATAATATTATAATAATCTAGGGCAGGGTTCTCACAATGTCCCTGGGTCATTAGCTTTAGTTTTGTCCGAAAGCTTGTTAGAAATCTAAGTTCTTGAGTTGAGCCTTGTTCCAGAACTATTGAATCAGAAATTCCGGGAGTGAAGCTTTGTTACCAGTACTCCAGGTAATGTGGATGCACGCTCCAGTTTGAGAAGTTCTGGCCTAGGAGAAGATTGATGACAGCCTGAACTACTGCAGGGGTGAATGTGAAGAGATTGATTTGTGACAGAGGACAATTTGCTCAGTAAAATTAAAGGATAGATTTGATTGATTTGACATGAAGGGTAAATGGCTTTCTTTGGATCTCAAGATGTCCAACCGGGGGAAGAGTTTTCCAGACTCCCAACTTGTTTGCATCCCCAGAACATCTTACATTATACATGTGTGCAATTCATGAAAAAAAGTATTTGCAGAGAGTTAAGAGTGGTTCAGTCTATGTAAACCAGTGATTCCCACTTTACAATATGGTCAGATATTAAGTTAATCTGTTTTCCCATTTCTTGAAGGTCCAACATGGGGGTTGAAATGTTGAAGAACTTTACCACCATCAAGGTCTTACCGTGTAACAGTAAGTCAAGTGTGCTGTTGCCTGCCGTGATCACCATTTGTCCATTTAGAGAACATTCTTACTGTAAGAGATATTTATTCTACATTGACCATTTTAAACTCTCATTTGGGGGGACAAATGATGTCAACCACCTTGAATTTTAAAGAACAGATGTTATTCTTGGAAATTATTTTCATATCAGCTTAAACCAGTTTTCATCCTGAGTCAGATAAAGCAGCTTAGAGAAGCCATCGATTTCAGCTGCTCCTTCTGAAAAGGTACAGGCTGTTTGTATCTAAACTTGAACTTTATTTCCCCCAGAACCAACCTTTGGTTCTCACGAGAGCTATGTGAGAATATCTCCGGTAAGCTATACAGATTCAAAGTTAGGAGATTTCTTTATCTCGCTTAAAGTTCGATAAATTAGCAATTTCTGTGGCTTTTTTTCTTTGGTTTCATCATGGGAACTTCAGCGGTCAACATGGAGCCATTTCATTCATAAAAGTGACATGTTTGCTACACTAGAATTAAAGTGAATGACTTGAATTTAATTTAAGCAAATGACTCCCATTAAAACGATCAATGAGACACACATTTACCCACTGCCCCCTTTTCATGAATTCACCAAATGTTTACTGGGGACCGACCTGTATGCAGAGAACTTTGCTAACCCCTGTGGAAAACCAAGATACAAATAAATCATGAACTCAGACACAGTCTGTGAAAAATACAGGTCTTTTCTCTGCTGGAGCAACCACCATCTGTGCCCACTGTTACACAGAAGAAAGTTTTTAGACTTTCTTTTTTTTGAGACAGAGTCTCAAGCTGTCGCCCAGGGTAGAGCACTGTGGCATCATAGCTCACAGCAACCTCCAACTCTTGGGCTCAAGCAATCTTCTTGCCTTTGTTTTTGTCTATTTTTAAAAGAGACAGGGATCTCGCTTTTGCTCAGGCTGGTCTCGAACTTGTGAGCTCAAGCAATCTACCCGCCTCGGCCTCCCAGAGTGCTAGGATTACAGGTATGAGCCACCGCGCCTGGCCAGTTTTTATACTTTTGAGGCAACTTGAGTCCTTCTAACACCTCTTTTGTGGCCCTTTTGCCTGGACAGTAATTGCTAGTAAATCAGGTAGTTTCTTAGAAGATAGTGGAAGACTATTACATTTGGAACCACTTACAAATCTGGTGTAAAGCAATATGGATAAAGGCTAAGTTCTAACTTATGCCGCAAAACCCAACAGGGCAGGTGAATGATAAAACAGATGTGCTTTTCAAGTGAATATGAAAGGGGCCTCAGAATCTTTCTTAGGGCAAAGTTAGATATGAATCAATAAATACAGTGGTGTGTCCAGAGCAAGAGGTCATGAGTCTACTATTTTTAGGGTTTTTTTGGTTTGTTTTTGCACTAGTGAGTCCACACTCAGCTCAAGATATAACAATTATTTAAAAGTTTTTTTTTTTTTATTTAATGAACAAGAGCAAGTGATTTGTTACACACAAAATAAATGTGTGATACTTGTTTCTTAAACATGTTCAAGTGCCTTAAGTATTCTAAAGAAGGGGAGATTTACAGTTGGGCAAGGCTGGTGTCATTTGTGCAATATTCAGCTGGGTCACCAAGCCCTGCTATTTCTTTTTTTTTTTTTAATTATTATTATTTTTTATTGTTTTGGATTCATTGAGGGTACAAAGAATTAGATTACACTAATTGCATTTGTTAGATAAAGTCCCCCTTATAATTGTGTCCCATGCACCGTGACCTCCCCAACCCCCACCCTCTTCCTCCTCTCCCCACTTGCTCATTCCCCTACCCCCCACCCTCCCACTTATATTAGCTCATCTACTGCCTTCATACCAGAATACAGTACATTGGATTCTTGCTTCTCCATTCTTGTGATGCTTTATTAAGAAGAATGTGTTCGGCTTCCATCCAGGTTAATACAAAAGAGGTAAAGTCTCCCTCTTTTTTAGTGGCTGAATTGTACTGCATGGTATACGTATACCTCAGCTTGTTAATCCATTCCTGTGCTGGGGCCTTTAGGCTGTTTCCACATTATGCAGGTCCTGCTATTTCAAAGCCAGACATTCTCTGGTGTGTTTGGCTAGCAAGATGGGGCCCGGGGAGACATTGTGATTGCAAAATTCACCCTTTCAACATGAACTTGTTAAATATCTGTAGAAGACAGGAGGGCAGAAATGGAGACAAGGAAAAGGGTTGGGATGGGGAAGATGATCAGGAGGGCAAAAATGAGGAAAGATTTTCTGAAATAATTTGTGGTAACAAACATTACTTGCTGTGGGAATTTTTATTGCCAGGGCATGAGAACATTAAACAGAAATGTCAGATTGGAATGAAGACACCTTTTCCCAGTGGTTATACTTTGAACAGAAGGTGGATTTCAGCATTTTGCAAACAGAACAAGTTCAATGCAATGAAATATATCAATGACTGCTTGAAAGGGAAACTTATTTACCTCATGGGAGATTCAACACTACGTCAGTGGATTTATTACTTTAAAAAAGTTGTGGAAAGTATGTAATTTTTTTTTTTATTTTGAAATTATATTTCCCTTTTGAAGATCTTAAAATAGAACAAGTATTCTTCAGTTTCTTTTTCTAGTGTTTGTTTTGTCATTTTTAATTTGCCAAACTTTTGGCTTTTCATAAAAAGTTAAATGTTATTTTTGTTCATTCACGGACCTCAACATTTTTCTTTCTCTTCTTGTATTCTGATAAGACATTCAAAATGTTAAGATTTCAATGTCTCTGGTACAATATGTAGGTGACCGTAATCTGGTTAGACGTGACCTTGGCTAGAATTTTACACATGTTGTATGCATTTGAAAATTGTATCATTTTCTTTTCTGTTAAAAGATTTATTGATTTGTTTTCCATCAGCCTTAAAATTTTTTGACCGTCATGGAACTGGGTACTTTAGAACACATGTTCTTCTGGATGTTGAAAGAAATATTTTGATTCAGTGGAAGAAACATGGTCAACCATTTGTTACCAAAAGGCTGTTCTCGGTGAAAGATGAAAACTATATCTCACGGGAAATTGACCGGGTAGCAGGAGACAATAATACGACCATTGTCATTACTCTTGGCCAGCACTTCAGACCCTTTCCTGTCAACATTTTCATCCGTAGGGTCATCAATATTCAAAAAGCCATTGACCGGCTATTCTTGAGAAGTCCAGAGACCAAGGTGATACTTAAAACAGAAAACATCAGGGAGATTCCTCAAAATGCAGAGATGTTCAGTGACTTTCATGGCTATATTCAGAATCTTATTATGAGGGACATTTTCACGGATCTCAACGTGGGTATCATTGATGCCTGGGACATGACAATTGCATATTGTGCTAATAACGTCCATCCGCCCTATTATGTGATTGAAAATCAGGTTGGCATGTTCTTAAACTACCTTTGCTAGAGGAAAAAAAAAATACAGTAAAATCACACTCTTTCAAATGTACTGCAAGGATAGTTTAATGCAGTCCAAGATTGGAAAAAAACAAATGAAAAAAATTATTGTAGCCAAATATATGTATCATAAAATGTAGCATTGAAATCATTTTTGAATAGCAATCGTCATCACCACCCATTTCCAGAACTCTTTCAACCTCCCAACCAGAAACTCTGTACTATTAAATAATAACTCCTTGTTTTCTCCTGTCCCTCTACCCCTGTCCCCTGGCAACCACCATCATACTTTTTATCTGTAAATTGGACCCTTCTAGGTAGTTCATATAAGTTGAATGTTACAGTATTTGTGTCTGGTTTCTTTCATTTAACACAATGTCTTTATGGTTCATCCATGTATCATGTATCAGAATTTCTTTCCTTTTTAAGACTGAATAATATTCCTTTGTATGTATAGACCACATTTTGTTCATGTGTTTATCTTTTGATGGACATTTGGGTTATTTCTTGCTATGAAGAACATACCAAATTAAAAGATGTGTCTCCAGCGCTGACCACAGTAACTGCATACCCAATGAGCACCACCCATAATTTAATTTGAAGAGATGTACAGCCCAGAAATATATAGATGAGGTGATTTAAGTTTAAAGAAAATGCGATTTATTAGAGAAAACTGAGTAGGATCAGAATAGCAGTCTTCTTGCCTAGGTAAATTGTTTGGAATTTAGTAACCAGTTGTTCTCTAGATTCCAGTAAGAGTTATGGATCCCAGTCCCAAACCCTCAAGGCCATTGAGAGAAACCAACTTGGTATTGTGTCAATGTACAGATCCTAAAAGCCTGATTCCTGTTGACCCAAAAATAGGATGTGTGATCCTCTCCACGGGGCCTCAAATGCCTTTATAAACTTTGTCTATCAATCTTGTTCTCATTATAAAAGTGCACTTGTATGTTCTAGGTCTCAAGAGTGAGAATATTTTTTATCAAGGGTGAGTCCCCTGTGTGGACTGTGTTTCTTAGTGAGAGGAAATGAGATCGTAATACTGAAACGTCAGTACAAAGGCCAGGGCATACAGTTCAGGCCTAGACTTCTCCAAATAAGGGAGCCTTAGAAATTCCTTCCTTGTATTGAACTACTCCTTGGTTTTAGTTCTTCCTGTAAGAAACTTTCAAAATAAGTTTCATTATTTTTCCAACCATTGCACCATTAGTTGCACCATTAATTCCAACCATCACACCATTATTGTTTACCCACCAAGGTCACCCCAAATTCTTTCATTCCAGCTCTGATGTGATACAGTTTCTAGTTTTCTTACTGCTACTCTCAAATGCACTAAAGTTTGCCTAAATCACTACCATATGCCTTTCACCCCATCTTTCACCTCAATGAATTGAATGCTCTCATTTAAATATGATCAGTCAGCCCAGGCTAAAGAAAGTCTATTATTTCTCTTGTTCTAGAGTTTCCCTTTACTATATTAGCAGCTATTAGTTTCATGTGGCTGTTTAATTTTAAATTAAATTAAATTAAAAATCAGTTCCTTGGTTGCACTAGTCACTTTTAGAGTGTACAATAACCACTAGTGGTATTGTACACCTACCACAAGACTTGCTGCTATTCTTCTCTAGAAAGTATTATGTTTTATGTGGTATTATATTTTTAAAAATAAGTCCAGTGGTATTTTATTAGTTTTCATTGCATGTAAAGAAACAAATCACCAAATGGTAGTAAGTGTCATATCTTTAACTTTCAAGCTATTTACATTTTTTTTTTTTTTTGAGACAGAGTCCCACTATGTCACTCTCACTATAGTTCTGTGGTATCACAGCTCACAGTAACCTCAAACTCTTGGGCTTAAGCCATTCTCTTGCCTCAGCTTCCCGAGTAGCTGGGACTACAGGCGCTCACTACAATGCCCAGGCTGGGCTCGAACCTGCCAGCTTTTTGGTGTATGTGGCTGGCGCCCTACTCACTGAGCTACAGGTGCCAAGCCTACTTTGTTCATTTTTTAAAAAAGAATCCTGATATCTGTTTTTACACCAGTTTTCCATGCAGTTTTGGCTATTACAGCCGATAGTTTGCTATAGTTTACTATAATTTAAAGTCAGGTAATGTGATACCTCTAGTTTTGTTCTTTTAGCTTAGGTTTACTTTGGCTATTTGAGCTTTTGGGGGGCAGGGGTAATTCCATATGAACTTTAGATTTTTTTCCTAATCTTATGAAAAATGACTTTGATATTTTCCTAGGAATTGCATTGAATCCATAGATTGTTTGGGGCAGTACGGTCACTTTCGTAATAATGATTCTTCCAGTCCATAAGCATGAAATGTGATCCCAATCATGTCATTTACAATTTTTTTCATCAATATTTTGTAGTGCTCCTTGTAGAGATATTTAATATCGGTGGTTAAATGTACTCCTAAGTATTTTCATTGTTTTTACAGTTACTGTACTGATATAAAAATAGACCTAAAGATCAGTGGAACAGAATAGAGAACCTCGATACAAAGCCATATACCTACAGAAAACTTGTCTTTGACAAAGCAGACAAAAACATATGCTGAGGGAAGGACACCCCATTCAAAAATTGTGCCAGGAAAATTGACAGCCATATGCAGAAAAATGAAATTGGATCTCTATTAATTACCATATACAAAAGTTAACTCAACGTGGATTAAAGACTCAAATGTAAGACCCAAACCATAAAAATTCTAGAAGAAAACCTAGGAAAAATTCTGCTGGATCCTGGTCTAGGCAAAAAAAAAAAAAAAAAAAAAAAAGACTAAGAGCTCAATGCAAATACAACAAAAACAGAAATAAACAAATTGACTTAAATTGAAAATCTACTGCAAAGAAAGGGAAATAATCAACTGAGCAAACAGCTAACATCAGAAGGGAGAAAGTCTTTATGGATTATACATAAAGGATTATTATAAAGGATTAATATCTAGAATCTGCAATGAATGCAAACAGATCAACAAGAAGAAAGATAGCCTCATTACAAAGTGGACAAATGACATGGACAAACATTCTTCTAAAGAAAGTATGAAAATGGCTAAGAAACATGGAAAAACACTTGATATCAGTAATTATCGAAGAAATGCAAATCAAAACCACAGTGAGATACTGCCTTTCCCCAGCTAGAATGGCCATTAATATAAAGTCAAGAAACAATGAATGTTGGCACAGGTGTGGCAAAAAGGGAGTGCTGATAGACCGCTGGTGGGAATGTAGCTTCGTACCACCTCTGCTCGCAGAAAACGGTATGGAACTTTCTTAGAGAACTAAGGGAGAGCTACCCTTCCATCCTGCAATCCCACCATGGTGAATACAAGTCATTAAATCAAAAAGATACTCGAACTCACCTGTTCCTTGCAGCACAATTCACAGTAGCAAAGATGGGAAATCAGCATGAGTGTTCATCACCCAGTGAGGAGATAAAAAATCATGTAAATACCATGGGTACTACTCAGCCTTAAAAAAGAATGACATAATGTCTTTTGCAGCTAATTGGATGGAACTGGAGGCTATTGTCCTAAGGCAAGTAACTCAGCAACAGGAAATAAAATACCACATGTTCTCACGTGTAAGTGGGAGCTGAGCTATGGGTAGGCAGGTAGTGCAGAGTGGAATAATTGTCACTGGAGACTCCAAAGGAGGCAGGGTGTGGGGTGAGCAATGAAAAATTACCTAGTGGGTACAAAGCACACTATTTAGGTGATGGATATACCAACAGCCCAAACTTCAGCACTATACAATATAATATATCCAGGTAGCAAAACGGCACCGGTACCTTCTACCTTCTATTGAAAAAAAAAAATTCTGGGGCAGTGCCTGTGGCTCAAAGGAGTAGGGAGCTGGCCCCATATGCTGAAGGTGGTGGGTTCAAACTCAGCCCTGGCCAAAAACTGAAAAAAAAAGAAAAGAAAAGAAAAAGAAAAAAAAAACTATCTGGAACAGGGTGGTGCCTGTGGCTCAAAGGAGTAGGGTGTTGGCCCCATATGCCGGAGGTGGCAGGTTCAAACCCAGCCCCAGCCAAAAACTGCAACAAACAAACAAAAAAACAAAACAAAACAAAACAAAAACCTGGAACCTGTATCTAAATAGCTCACAATGTTTTGACTTTGAAGTGGTAGCATCAGGTTATTATGAATACTATTATGACTACTGTTAACATAGACTATGTGAGTAAGCCATTCAAAACCACAGAAATGTTTCTTTACTAGTATCATAAAACCTCTTCCAAAATGCATCTATACGCACAATAGAATGAAGCAAGGCTAGAATCAATAACAGAAAGAAAACAGGAAAGTCCACAAATATGTAGAAATTAAACAGTGCACTGATAACTTATGGGTCAAAGAAGAAAATGTGAGGAAGTTTCAGACCTATATGGAGACAAATGAAAACAACGCAGTGAAAGCAGTAGGAAGAGGGAAGTTTATAGCAATAGACGCTTAGCTGAAAAAAGAAAAAGGTCGCAAATCAACAATCCAACATTGCACTTCTAGGAACTAGAAAAAGAAAAACAACCTAAACCCAAAGTCAGCAGAATCAAGAAAATCGTAAAGATTAGAGCTAAAGGAAATAAAGTACAAAATAAAACATGAGAAAAAAATTACTAAAAGTTTTTCAAAAAGATCTAAAAAAAATTAACAAACCCATAGCTAGACTTAGAAAAAAAGAGAGAGGGCTCAAATAGCTAAAATTAGAAATGAGAAAGGAGACATCGCCACTGATGTCACAGAAATAAAAAAGATTAAAAGTGACCATCATGAATAGTTATACAGTAATGAGTTGTATAACCTGGAAGAGATTGATAAATTCTCAAGAGTGTACAACTTACCAAGACTGAATCATGAAGAAATAAACAGTTTGAACTGGGTAGACATTGAAACAGTAAAAAACTAGATGGTGTCACTGGAGAATTCTACCAAACATTTAAAAAAGTATTAACATCAATCCCCAAACTCTTCCAAAATAGAGAAGGGAAGACTCCCAAACTCATT